TTACCGCCACCTCTTTAGCTCCACAATAGCCACCAGGCCCGCCACGAATTTCTCCTGGATATGGTGAAAATGGTGAGCCAAATTTGAGTCAACATATTCATTATTAGGCGAACTTCTTACTGGCGGCGGTTGTGTATAAATAGGTGAATTTCCTGGTGTGATGGGTTGGATGTAGTAGCGGGGTGATGGAAAAGATAATCAGGGTTTTTTCGCTTAATTTATTTATATATTTTAATAATTATTATTTTTTTGGATTTTTTAATATTTTAATTTAAAATAATGGAATGATCATTCTGCTGTTTTTAATATTTGCAAGTCAAAGGATTGGCTAACGAAGAAATTGATGAAAATCATACATTTGGATGAAGGCGGCTAATTTTTCAGAAGTTGGAAACACGATTGTCTAGAAAAAAGTTGGTCACGGAAGTGTAATTAATGCTATTTACCATATTAACTCTAATCAAGATCCACACGCAATTAACTCTAATAATTAACTAAAATAAGCAATCAAAAAGTAAGCAAATCTTGAAATTTAATTTAAGTCACTAGAATCCGAATCCAACATTGTTAACCTACTTTAGTCATCAATTACTCTTTATTAACCAATTCTTATTTTATACTTTCTCATATTCGTTATGTCCCACGATCTAATTATATTTCAAATGAAGGTTGCAAGTAGATAAAAATGTGAGACATCTACAAATACGTAGAACCTCTCGGTATCAGCACGAATTCCATGAACAATCCTAATATTGGCTAGATAATAAGATATCAAATTTAATAACAAACCATCAGTCCATCAAGATTTAAAATTAAAAAAAAAAGGGAAAAAAAAAGAGCAATTTATTAGATTAAAGAATTAAAGGCTTCATTGTAAATCCTAGCAACAAGAAGAAGCTTAACCACTCATAATTGTATCGCAGAAATACAAGATGGAAGATGAATACGTAACCCGAATATATTAGAAGAATCCTTAATCTCAATTCTCTTAGATAATGGTGGATGTTCTTCCTCTTCAATGTTTTTTCTCAACCTTGCTCGCAGATTGTTTCTTGTTACTCCTAAATTGATACCTCACCAAATTTCCTCGAGCTCATTTTTGTCTTCAATCTCCATTCCTCGTTTTTCACTCCTAAGTCATCTGCTTATTACCGCTT